TGAAGATAAAACAAATAGCTGTTCTAACCATCTTCTTTTGTTCTCTCAACAACCACGGAGCTCTTTGGTCCATCCCCAACAGAAGTGAAGGCCAACACTTGAAATTCATATTCTGTGTACTTGTTAAGACCAGTAACATTTATGTTTAAACTTGATTCATTGTTGATAGGAAGGATTGTTCCTAATCCTGAGGAGTCTTTCCTTTTGTAAAAGAGTTTGAATCCTTTAATTATTCCATTTCTCGAATTTCCAGGCGGTAATTGCCACGATCCTGTTACACTTGTAGACGAGGTTGCAGAGACGGTGAAGTTAGATGGAGGTTGTGAAGGAGCTGTAATTGAACAGTGTTTTGATAATTTTTGCTTTAAAATTTCTTAAATACTTGATATTAAACCCTTACTTGTCACATAAATATTATTGCTGTTTTGTTTCATTTTGATAGTACTGGTTGTTTATACTTTCGGTCACCTATTCATCACACTCGCTTGATGAACATACAGCAAACTATAAATGTAGAAATTACATCATCACTCTTCTTTATCCCTCACATACCATCTTCCATTGTCCTTTCCACCTCTAGAGAACTTTTTGGTCCATCCCCAGCAGAAGTGAACGCCAACACTTGAAATTCATATTCTGTGTAATAATCAAGCCCGGTGACAAGTCTATTTAATGTTGATCCCCCCCTAACAGTCAAGGTTGCTCCCGACCCTCCAGAACCTTTTTTTTTGCAGAACAGTTTAAACCCTGTTATGTTTCTTCCATGTCTGGCAAAGACTGGTGGTAACTGCCAGGAAGCTTTGATGCTCGTAGAAGAGCTTGCAGTCAACTTGAAAGTAGTAGGAGGTTTTGATGGAACTGAAATAAAGAGAAAATAAAATATAAAATGTGTACCTCCATGCTTAGTGGAAATTGATGTGGAATTTAGAAAGATACACCCAATCGACCATTGTAATAAACTTAATGAGCATGGGACATTCCTATCAGAATGAAGGATGATTAGGAGTGGTGACTCTATTCATATATGTGATAGACTTTTCCTTAAACATTGAGTGTAAAGAAGTTAGTCCTGGCATCAGCTTATTAGTCTGTCGCAAAGGCAACCTAAGAGGTTCCTGAATCAAAAATGCTTCAGCATTTTACAGCCATCTCCAGCATTATTTTGTTTTCGATGTTTACAAAAAAGAACTCCAATGTCAGCATATATAATCTGGTTTAGTTTTATTTGCCTGGGTTCAAATTCATTCAAAAACTCGTTAACAATAATTATTCATACGCCTAGTGACATACCAAAGGATAGATGATAAATCACGTGCAGTGACTTGCTAACGATAAACTTTCCCACCTATTTGTAGCTGTTTTACCAAATTATCAAAGCACATGACTTTTGAATATTAATTATCAACACAGCAACGGCCATTCAGCCATTCCAGAAAAATTTACACAGACCAACTTCCTCTCTTCCATGACAGCTTTAAGTTTCTGGAAAGCTTTGGAACAGGAAGCCATGTCCTATCAGACCTATCTGCCAATAACATCTCATTTAAAAATGCAAAAAAAGGAGCGAGTCATCCTAAAATGGTGCAACAAGTCCATTGTCAATCATATGCTGTGCAAGTCTGGCATGGTTAACTTTGCCTTGTTTGGTTGAAGGAAAACCTACAGCTTCCCTCCATAATGGATGTATTATTTTGGGCCGAGACCAGAACTGATAAGTCTTAATTTTAAAATCATTTAATGCCAGCTCTAAACCTACATAGGTTATACCGGTACTTAAATTATTCTCATTCAACCAAAGCACAATAAATAATACAGAATATTTAACTTGTTATTGTGTTATTGTGACTTTTGTATCAGGATGGGGGTGGAGAAACTAGAGCTAATAAATACCTCTAGTCAGAGGTACTCCATAAACTTCCACTCTCAGAGCCTTGTATTTATGATATGCTGTTGGCTGAAAGCGGATAAACTTTGTGCTTGCAAATTCCTCGAGACTGTTTTTCACTGTGTCAGTTTTTCCTGAATTTCCGCGAAAGACCTGAAGTATGTGATAAAAAAAGTCATATAATCATATTAAAACTTGTTTGGTTAAAGTCAAACCAGGTGAGGCATACCCCTCAGGATTACAGTAAGGAATATTCGTTAATTGAACCCGCTAGTTGTCTCAAGAATGCAATAATGGTTGATTATTTGAATATTCGACCCATTGGTCGCATTCCTTTTGAAATTGCGCAGATCATTGTTCAAATCAGAAATCAACTTCTGATTTGAACAATGACTCACACCCTTAGAAATTTGCGACTTTTTAACGAAAGAAATTCTTTTGCCGACTTTGGGAGGATTGTTGAGCGTTGTGTTACACATTACTTCATTTTTATCGTCTATAGAACCATATTGACAATGACTCTCAACCAATGAATGCGCGAGAATTTTAACAGTTATTGCAAAAATTATACATACAAAAGTTTTCAAAAAACCGTTGATATTTTAAAAATATATATGAAATAAAGGAATATACAATAGCTGCTGTCAAAATAACAAGAAAGGTATCGTTCCTTTGATGCGAAATATACATGCATAGAACAGCACCTTTTTAATGAAAAAAGAAAAGGTAATTATATTAAATACATGTTTTCAAATTGTAGCCTTTTTGAAAACAGATTTATCTATGTATATATTTGTTTATGTATACATCTGTGTGTATGAAAGCAGTATAGTTAGCCATTGGAAAAAATGGCTCTATATTAAATGGCTCTATACTGACTCTAAAAAGTAATAATTATTTCGATATGTTAAATGTAAGCAACAGAAACAAATTGTGGATAATGTTTAGTAAATTGTTTTAAAATTTTGTGTGAGATTTTACGGTAATCATGTATAAGCCACTCTGCTGTTATTTACCAGAACTGTTAATTGGTTGTTATGAACACTTGTGTATGAGAGCATGACATACCGTTACCTTGTCAATGTTATTTTCTTTATAAGGAAAAAATGTGGTACCATTGAGCGAAAATCTTAGTTTGTACTGTGTGGTCCATTCTAGTGCTGACGATTGGGATGGTGGATTTCCTTGAGTAGCTACAGCACAGATAACATACTCATAGAGTAAGTCAATTTGTAGGTAGTCATTTGGATCAGTTGTAGTGTTAGGTTTCCATACCCTTGTTCCATTAAGGCGACCATATTTAGCTGCATAACCGCTACTAAATATCGAACTGGTTGAGAAACTGTCATCTGGAATCCAACCACTGCTGGCCAACCCAATGGCCTGTATGTCACATACTGCAAGATAATAATTCAAATTTGACCTCCATGTTTTTCAAAATTGTAGATAATTCACTGCAATCAAATAAATAACTCCTAATAACAATCTACAGGATATTACTACAGAAGTATAAAAGAATAGGGATAGAAAAATTTCAAAGAAAATTTAGCCCAGATGTTTGCTAAATAACCAAATGAGTGGTGAAGAGTGTTTGCATCAGAAAACTACTTATCCAGATTTGGAGCCTTTGTTTATAAATTAAAATAGATAACTGTGAAATATGCAAGGAAAAGATTAAGAGAGTGTGCAACATATTTTACACAAACTTTTTTACTAAACTTACTTGACTTTTGATTTACCCCAAATACCTCTGTTCTCATACACACCCCACCCTGGTGTGTTTGTGGCAGGAATCGTACATATCTCGTTAACACTCCATACAGAATATGTTTGACTTTTGAGTTTCTGTCCTCATTTCCCACTAAAACCTTAGAAAAATCACAAACAGTCATAACTCATCACAGAGCTCTCTTTTCCACATACATCACACAATGTGACAATTGAAACACTATCAGGATGAAACTAATCTGCATCATTAATTTACAACTTGCTGTATTCTTTAACACAATGGTTTATATGCTTGTAAGGTGGCTACATTTTTCTTATCAAAGTTGACAAACTAAATGTGGTTAAAAAATTTGGTAGGTTCCATCTCCATTTTTTCGCTAAAGATTATCCCCCCCCCCCATTCCCTGGCCTGACAGCAAATTTGGACTTGCAAAATACCAATTGCTTTATAAAAAAAATTATTCATTCGACATGCCAAAATTCATGATATTCATGGTGTCTGGGCAGTCAGTTATTGTTGAAGTTTTACTGACCAAATAATGTAACTGTACAACATTTCCTCCTATCCTTTTGTTGTGTGATACATCAAGAAATTCTTTGATGGCCATGAAAAGATAAATGCCTCACTAATATCAAAACCACATGCACAGTGATTATAGCAAGATGAGGTATAATTCTCAACCAGTCCACATGTCATACCTTAACCTGTCCTCCTTCCCTATAGTCCATCCAAGTTGTCCCATTTGTGGATAATAGTAGTTTATAGGTCTTCACCCACTGATCTGCCTGAGAATTCCCTTGAGTAGACACAGCACAGATGATATGAAGTGTCTGTAGATCAATCTGTAGATATGGGTTAGTGTCACTTGTTCCTGCACACCATGATGCTCCCAATGCGTAGTTTAGTCGACCATTCTCTGCTGGTGTGCTGGAAGAAGAAGCAGTTATTCTACTGTCTGGAATTTTTCCACCCTCCATTCCTAGATCAAACTCAACACATTCTCCTATAAGTTGAAAAAAAAAATTATTTGAAACATTACATGGAACAGACCCCTGGCCAGGAATAGGGCTCATGCCTGTTTTTAAGAGCTTTGGCAGCTGAGGCCTGGGAAATGGACACAGTAGAGGCCTCTAGATCATACCAAGTGCTTGTCTCAGGTGGATGCATGTTCCTTCAATTTGGCTAATTGTTTTTTTCGCTATCTATCACATACCATCTCCCTTTGTTGTCTTCACCTCAACAGGGCTCTTCGGTCCATCACCATCAACTGTATATGCCAGGACTTGAAATTCATATTCTGTGTACTTATCAAGCCCAGTGACATTGCTACTTCGTATTGATCCATTTCCAATTATAGTCAAGGTTGTTGCTGATCCACCACAAACTTTCTTTTTGTAGAACAGTTTAAACCCTGTGATAATTCCATGTCTAGCAAAGATTGGTGGTAGCTGCCAGGAAGCTGTGATACTGGTAGAAGAAATTGCAGCCAATCTGAAGGAAGTAGGGGGTTGTGATGGAACTAAAATAAACAATGCCAGAAATAAACCATCATAGCGAGCTTAGATAGCGCTTTAAATGTTCAGAGGAGTTCAGCGACTCAGGGAGTACGGGGGCTGTGTGCCGAAACAGATGTTCCTTCCTCATGAGGGTATAAGTTGTGAAGATTCTTAACACAATTTTAGACTAATCTATTGGATCCCACAATATGGTACAAATGTATCATATCATACCTGGTATAGATAATACAATATGTTGAACTTCATTCAATTTAACAGAATGAGAACCCTCAAGATCTCAGAAAAGTGCATTTGTGGCAATTTAGGTTGAACCAAAAACAAAAGGTGGTCATAACCAAACAATCTGATGGTCATGCAGGTCTAAAATTCAAAACTGTCTCCTCAAAACCTTATCCAGTCACTTTCACAGCTGTGTTGAGGTCAGTACGTCAGTTGTACAGTGCTTCCATGGATGAAGGCAAGCAAAAGGTATATATGTATCATTTCATCAGAGTCACTGATTGTGTCTCTTTTTATAAATATCACCTCACATGCTTCTTTTCCATGTTCATAATTCATTAGCTTTTCATTGCATTTATTTATTTTTTCAGATTTTTCCTTGATCCAATCCATGATCTGATTGGTCTCAAATTTTGTACTTTGACAGTTCTCACTGCTTTTTAATGTTTTCAACTTTCAACTCCTTTGACTAAAAAGTTTTCCTTTCAAGTTTCGGTTTTAAATTTTTTCTCCGTCATTTTCTCAGAAAAGTTTAAAACTATTCCCAGGTGTGACTAGATACATAACAATTTAAGAATTAGACTGATTGGCAAAAATCTTGTGTGGTCTATTTCATCATCAGATCCCCGCCTGATCCAGTCCATGATCCGTTCCACAATCTGTTCTGCAATTCAATTCGTGATCTGGTCTGTGATCTGATACGGATTTTTTCAACACCGAAAAAAACTCTCACCTGACTAAGGCTCTATCAGTATCATCGATTGCCTTTAGCACTGTAAAAGTACCTAATTTTGCCTTCCACAAGGGATGTTAATAATAACAACTTCATTTTCATTTCAAGGGGAGATAAAAACAAGAGCTGAAAAAATAAATACCTTTAGTTAAAAGAACTCCATAAACTTCCACTCTCAGAACCTTCCAAGCATGATATGCTGTTGGCTCAAAGCGAATAATCCTTGCAATTGAAAATTCCTCAAGACTGTTGGTTACGATTCCATTTCGATCTGAGTTTCCCTGAAAGACCTATATAGTTTGTGGTATAAAATGTGAAATAATTTTTTTTTATCAAATTTTCTTTATTTACTGCATCATTAACTGCAATTCAGTATCAACTATTTGTTTCCCTAATGGCTCAATCAATCCAAATACTTGGTTTTTGTTCTTAGAAATCTACCAAACATCCAGTTTTGTGACCCTGTTTTAGAAACTGAAAAATCTTTTCTAGTGATCTTAATTAAGGGAGAAATATAGGTAAAGTTTGTGAGAGATTATAAAACAAGAGGCACTAGCAGGTTTGACAGAAAACACCAAACATTAATTAGGATAATATATTTTCAAACGCACTTTCAGTTGAATTTTTTTTTCTTTGGTCTTGATAACATATACTCTACCTACAGTTATGTAGTAGCATACTAAATCGAATGCAGTCCCTAAAATGAGAATAATATATCAATGGTGGAAAGGAAGAGAAAACAAATGATTGAGCTCAAATTAATTAGGAAATTTTGAAATAACAATTAATCGGGCTTAAACTATATTCTAAGATTACATTCTATGAAGGCTACATTTTGCATTCATATCCTAAGAAGAAACTCTAATTGTCCTTGACATTTCCATGAAGGACAAAAAGCATATAGTTTACAAACATAAAATTATTTTGAAAATCACACCTGAAAAAAATTTCAGGCCTGTACGGGATTCGAACCACTGACCTCTGCGATACTAGTGCAGCGCTCTACCAATTGAGCTAACAAGCCAACTGGGAGTAGGCCATCAAATTAATTCGACATAAACCCGTAGATGATAAATCAAACAAAAACAAACATATGAAACATATGTATGAACTGCGGTTATGAGACGTATATGTGAACGATCCTTCGCAGTAAAGCACTATTTGAGCAATAGTGAAAATCAGACCTGAAAAAAATTTCAGGCCTGTACGGGATTCGAACCACTGACCTCTGCGATACTAGTGCAGCGCTCTACCAATTGAGCTAACAAGCCAACTGGGAGCAGGCCATCAAATTAATTCGACATAAACCCGTAGATGATAAATGATAAAATTCATTCTAATAGAGCTTTGGCAGTTCACATCTTCGAGCAGAAACTGCTTTCTTGGGTTATTATCGTTTTTCTAGTGTAAATTCGTAGTTTCTTCGAGTTGAAAGTAAATCGAAGTAATCATCGTTGTCATGGCCACGTCGGAAGAAAGGCTTGTTAGCTCAATTGGTAGAGCGCTGCACTAGTATCGCAGAGGTCAGTGGTTCGAATCCCGTACAGGCCTGAAATTTTTTTCAGGTCTGATTTTCACTATTGCTTAAATAGTGCTTTACTGCGAAGGATCGTGCACATATACGTTTCATAACCGCAGTTCATATATATGTATTTCATATGTTTGTTGTTTGATTTATCATCTACGGGTTTATGTCGAATTAATTTGATGGCCTGCTCCCAGTTGGCTTGTTAGCTCAATTGGTAGAGCGCTGCACTAGTATCGCAGAGGTCAGTGGTTCGAATCCTGTACAGGCCTGAAATTTTTTTCAGGTCTGATTTTCACTATTGCTTAAATAGTGCTTTACTGCGAAGGATCGTGCACATATACGTTTCATAACCGCAGTTCATATATATGTATTTCATATGTTTGTTGTTTGATTTATCATCTACGGGTTTATGTCGAATTAATTTGATGGCCTGCTCCCAGTTGGCTTGTTAGCTCAATTGGTAGAGCGCTGCACTAGTATCGCAGAGGTCAGTGGTTCGAATCCTGTACAGGCCTGAAATTTTTTTCAGGTCTGATTTTCACTATTGCTTAAATAGTGCTTTACTGCGAAGGATCGTGCACATATACGTTTCATAACCGCAGTTCATAGATATGTATTTCATATGTTTGTTGTTTGATAAAATTATTTTGTTTCTACATAGATGCTTATAAGCTCCATTGTTATACTTTTCAGTCTTTTCAATGAGCACCCAAGGATTAATATTCCTGTCTAGGTATTTGTAACACTCACTTTAATTAATATCTCCTTTGTTTTCTTTTTAACATTTCCTGAACTTTCAAGATAATAATTATATTAAAGTCAAGAAGTAATGGATAGTGAGTCCACATGATGAGGACCAAGTAACATTTAGTACACAATATTGAAGTGAAATGTAAAATTGCATGCATGCACTGTATAAACAATGCATGTATGCAATGGATGCACAATGCATCTATATATGCACTGGGATGAACAATGCATGTTCCAGAAACAGAGAAAAGAGGGAATTCATGCCCAGCCTGTGTCTTGGCCAAGCAGACACTTCTTTTGTGTCCGCCCCCTCTTGACTCAAAAACTCAATCAGAGGTAGAGAACCTAGCTACTTTTGGCCTTTTTTTTACCTTCATATAAACCTACCCTGTCAACATTGTCTTCTTGGTAGGTGACAAAACTGGTACCATTCAATGATAAATGAATCTTGTACTGTGTTGTCCACTCGCTAAATCCATTAGCTCCTTGAGTAGCTACTGCACAGATAACATACTCATACAGCAGGTCAATTTGTAGGTAGTCACCATTTCTTATACCCTTGGGTCCCCATCCCTGATGACCTCCTTTAAGGCGACCTTTAGAGGGTCCATAGATATAATTAAAGTATGATGATGCTGTGAAGCTACTGTCTGGAATTTTACCACCATACGCCAGACCAATGGCCTCTATTTCACAAGCTGCAAGATAATTAATTTTTTCACAAATTAAAATTATAATAATTGTGATCAATCAAATGACTCCTACAAGGATCTGAAAATCAAATATCACCTCAACTTAGTTGGTATTTTTACCCAATACTAATAATTTGGCCATTAATGTGATCATTTCACAAAAAGTACAAGTGATCCACAAATTAAAAATGCCCAGAGTTTCATAAAAGATATTTTGAAGTTTTGAGCACCAACAATTAATTTGAATTCAGCAGCTAATTTCCTATCAGCTATTTTCCTTCAACGTGAGTTTAGTTTCCTGGGTGGATTTTGAGACATTACAAAAATTAGATTATTAATGGGCAATTGCAAAAGGCTTGATGTCTTTGATGAGTGCATAAAAGTAGTTTCTACAGTTTTAATAAAATGTAAAAAACAAGCATACATCATCAAAATCAACAGCTACATGTAGAATCTTAACTACCCTAGCCACCATAAACCAGCAATAAGTAAGAGATAAATACC